GACGATGCGTGCGGGAGGGATCCTGCCATTACGGCCTGCTGCCATGACGATGTCGTTCGCCGAGCGCCGCTGGAATATTGCCCCGAACCAAGTGCTTCAAGCTAATCACGATCATGACCTCGGAATCCATACGTAAACCAGATTGGATTCTGTTGTCACCAGGAAGGCGTGGGCATCCATGTGCGAAAAGTCTGCCCCTCTTCTCACTGGTGTCGTCGGCGCGGCAAGATAAACCAATACTGAGAATACTTGGGGTATTCTCCCATTGAGTTCCATGAATGAAAGACCGCAGCTGCTGATAGGTCAGTGATCCTCATATATACATATATATGGATTCAGGGCACATGATACCAAGGCTGCGGCGCCCGCTTGTCGGGCGGATGAAGTAGGTGTCGAAATCCACATCGGAACACCTCATCTTCTTGATATGCAGCCGGTTATTTTTTCATTCCGGGCTCATCTATCATGCCGATGAGCTCCAAGACAGCGCAGGCCTGGCACGCCCAGTGACGATGTTTGGGCAGGTGGCGCACCGCGTCGAGATGCTTGGGGCGATACCGTTCGCATCCTTCTGCAGGCCATGCATTGAGTAGCTGCGATAAGTCTGCCCAACCGTCGCACTCGTCACATGTCGCAACCTCGCGAATAAATCTGTCTGACAAGCGACCATTGTGAAATGGTTTATGACAGAAAGCTGTTGTCAGCCACTCGGACACCTCACGTTGATCTTGGCATTTGAACCTCGGCCTGCGAACATTGTCTGTGCTGAGGGTGTTATCCAAATATTCCTTTTCTCAATCCAACGTGAATGCAGGGCGCTTCCGCAGGATGTGCACTATTTGGCGCGCACGTGCACCTTCGTCAAAATGGACAGCAGTGTCCATGATATTGCATTGCACCACCATGCAGCGATCAGATCCATCATCATTCCGCGGATGATATGCTGGATTGATCTTCATGCGGGTGCCAGTGCGCAGCCTGTCCCAGTATTCTTTACATTCCGGTGGCACCTCCAGCGCAGGGGCAGGTTGCCCCGCCGGACTGCAAGCAGGCTGCCCCGCAGAGTTCTGAGCAGGTTGCCCCGCAGAACGTGGGGCAGCCGTTGGCGCTGGCGCTGCAAACGTTGCTGCGCTCGCCGCCGATGCGGCAGATCCAGCAGACCCTCTGGGCGCCCTCGGAGTTCCTTGCGGGGTACTGATGTCGAAATCCTGGAGCTTCTTCTCCTTGGTGTTGTAGGACTCGGCATCCTTGTGCCTGGGCACTGCTCCTGGTACTTTTGGCGTAGTAGCAATGAGCTTCTCAGCGTGAAGAGTGGAAGCAGCGCCCCTTCTTCTTGCCCCCAAATTGGGCGCCCATCCTGACCTGCGCGCCCAACCTGGCGCCGGGCCGCGACTTGGCACAGGCTCCTTTGGATTAGGCGTACTGGCGCCCTGGGATCTGGCTGCTGCGGCGGCCACTGCTGGCCCTCTAGATCGTTGTCGATCAGCGCGTTGCTCAGCGGGTTGCCCCGCATATCTCTCGCTGCCCCCAGGATAAGGATCACCTGGGCTCTCGCGCTTCTTTTTCTTGGGCTCAGGGCGATCAGGGCCAAGATGGACATATTGAACCAGAATCAGGATCATAAGACGAGGGAAGTTCGATCGCTTCTGGTTTCGGCTCGGGCGCTGCCTTTGCCGTGGACCCCGCTGGCGCCCCAGGAGTACACCGCCGATAACGCTCGGCGGGGCCTCGGCCAAGATTCAGATCGTCGCCACCTGGCCTCCTGAGAGCCATATTCTTCCCAAGCGCATTCGTTTGTCCAGCCCGCACCTTGAGCACGCTAAGCAATCCGCCTGCCAGGAGAGAGCCCCATGTCTCTGGTGACAACGTAATCAGGGTTGATCGGAGTATCAATTTCACATGTAATGTCCGTGATACCCGAATCACTTGACTCACCGTCGTCAAGGGCAGCTTCCGCAGGATCAACTTCTTCAGCCATTGCAGCATATTCATCTTTATCGGCTTCTCGTTGGCATTCTTCTTCTGGTTTATGATCGGCCGGTTTCCCTGCGCGCCAATCGCGATTGAACTGCACCAGATAGTGAGTAGATATCAAGTTATGTCAAATAGCCTCTGTTTGTTCCATCTCTGTAACAGTAGCAGGGGCGTAATCCTTCTCCGCCAGCTGCTCGTCGCATGGCGCTTTATTGGGGTCAGCACAGCAACCCCGACCATTTCCACGAGACCAAACCCACTGTGTTCTTGTGAAATTCGGGTTTCTTGATGGGCGCCTCATGGGACAGCCAAGCCTGCGATCGGCAAAGCTGGGGCATGTGCAGCAAACGCCTCTGTAGCGCCTTCGATCCTCGATGATGGCCCTTTTGTGATCACGCACGATCGTCTTTTTCCTGCGATTTGGTCTGTCCTTTCGTTGAGCGAATGATAATGTCATCGTCTTTTCGTTTGGACTGGCGAAGAGAATACCAGCGCCGGGTTTGATGTTCGTTCCAACCTCTGTTCAACCAGTATTCCATCTGATCTGCAGGCATGCGCTGACGAGCCAATCCAAGTCTTACTCCAGCCCTTCAAACGCTGTAGTTGACCTTCTGGGTTTTCTTCTCCTCGGCGCTGATCATCTCGAGGCGGGCGCCCCCGCGGACGCTCCCTCCTTTGGGGGGCATGCGCTCTTGACGCCTGCCCTGGCGGGCCACTTGAAGTTCCTGCCGCAGGAGGATGAGCGCGCTGAACACCGCTCGAACGAGCACCGCTGGAGCGGGTTCGCACCCGATCTGGCGAGGGGCCAGGAGCTCGACCGCGAAGTACCATGCAGTCATCATCCCCCTGTTTGTCCTCGTCGTCCGCTGGCGAAAGGCTTGGATCGTCATGATATTTCTATCTCATCGAGGGCAGGCGGCTCGGCGCTCGCCTCGGACTGCTAGCGGATCGATCTGACGCAACAAAAATACACTGAAATTCTTCATTATGCCCAAGCTCATATTGAATACGTTCAGATAGGTCACCAGCATCGCGCGGGTTTCCCCGCAATGGACCACCATCGATCGATTCCGCGCTTGTCGGATTTCCAATCACCCGAGGATACAGCATTGTATGTACTTCTTCATCTGTTGCAGGAGTTCTAGAATATGAGTCCGCGGGCGCCCCCGCCATGCCAAAATCACCTTCGTGGGCGCATGGGAGTCTCGACGAACTCAATATCTGCAAGTTGCCCCGCGATGGGTACACCCAGCCACTCTGCCAAGTCGATACCGCTGTGGCCAGTGAACACCTCCTCAAACAGCTCGTCGGCGCAATTCTCGAGGATCATACTGGCACTTAGAGACCTGGCAGCCATGAACTGCATGACTGTGGCTGAGCCGTCGGCAGGGTCGGCCAGAAGCGACTCCCAGTCAACATAATGTATGTCGGAGCCCGTTTGAGCCCATCGGACCCCTGCCTCTTCCATCACCTCGGGGGCACTCGCGTCGAAAATGTTGTGCACTGTGACATATGTCGCACTCCATGGTTTTACCGCTGGCATATTTTGGATTTCCTCGTCGCCCTTCACCTTAACCTGATGTATGCCTACGGTTTCTGCCAGCGCCTAAAAACATGTCTTCCTACTGGGGCCCAGCGAGAGACGCTGGGAATGCTAATGTGCCTCTGCCATGTAGTCGCCGACGTTTACCTCTGCCATCACTTCGACCCTTGCCTTTTCCTAGTGTCCGCCGTACCATGCGTCTTACCCTTTCTGACTGGTGTCTCCATGAACCTCCGCCAACGGCGCTTGTGTTTTTGATAGCCCAAAGTTAACCACTGAGCTTGCTGTTCTTCGGTAAGGTATGTAGGCATGTCAGAGTAGCCCAAGGCGGTAGCTTCATCATCACAAGACGAATCGGCATCGGTGCCGGAGTCGAAGTCGGACTCGGCGGGTTGCCCCGCAGAGCCCATTAGGGTCAGAGCTTGCATAGGGGAGACCGCATCGAGCGGCCCCCTAGATCTGGACCAGGGGTCTTGCGACCCCGAGGCCGTTCCGCCACTCTGGGCCAACAGCGTAGTGGTCTCAGTCGGCGGCATATCGTCGTTCCAGACGTTGTCAGCAGGTTGCCATGCGTTGGCCTCTGTGTGGAAAGTCTCGGATCGGTGACCGCGACTAAAAATACCACCCATATTGCCAGGGGTCCTCTCAGCTATGTGAGCATATGACCTCATACGTTCGAAGAGAGCATCAAATTGTGCTTGGTCCCTCGGCATGTGGTGGTTCAGAGGCTGCAGGGGTTGCTGTGCCCGCGACGTCCCCACTCCCAGAGCTCTGAATAATATTACTGCTAATATCTGGAAGTTGGGGATGTTGAAGCCGGCGGCTTCGGCAACGTAGCGGGCTATCTCGAACCGTGCTATCGTGAAATTCGGTGCCACCCCTCACGCAGATCCGCGGGGTCAGGGTCCAAAAACACAAGGGATTTGCCACATTTCTGAAACTCGGCGCCACCCCTCACGCAGACCCGCGGGTTCAGGGTCCAAAAACACAAGGGATTTGCCACATTTCTGAAATTCGGCGCCACCCCTTACGCAGATCCGCGGGGTCAGGGTCCAAAAACACAGGGGATGTGCCACATTTCTGAAATTCGAACCCATCACGCACATCCATCGCAAGGCGTGGTAACCCAAACTGCGAGAACTCCCTCGGCCCTTTCATCGCAAGGTGTGGTAACCAAGCCCTTAAACCATACACGTCTTACCAATCGCCAGGTGTGGTAACCCCTCTTGTGATCAGTTGGTTTTGCTGATTGCGACTCGGCTTCGCATGAAGTTTCGATACTGCTTCACGACAGCGCCAAGGCCTCATGACTTAGCTCTTCCATGGCCAATTCTCCGAGAGAGGGGGCCGGCGGCAAGGGGCGAAGCCCTTACGGATATAAGCCCAGGACGATATCTATTTGAAGTCCATCCTGCCAGCAGCAGCAGCAGCTGCGGCGGCAAGACGGCACGCGCCGCCCGCCCCTTGCCGAGAGAGTGGATGCCTGCTGTGGACGAGGTGGCAAAAGTTGCAGTTGACCCCGTTGTTGCAGCCCGCCTCGGGTCGGGGAAGGTGCTGAAGGTGCGCCTGGACAAAGGTGCCCCCAGCTTTTCGCTCAGTTTTGGAGCCCCAGGGGCCCTCTGGGCCTCGCGAAAGGTGCTCTGGAGGCCGTGGGGGCCTCCGTGGAAATGCTGGGGGGACCTTGGGCCACGGGCATTTCTATCAGCGCCCGATCGCGGGCAGGGGGGGAAGCGAGGCAAACGCCTGAGTCGCGCGTCCAGCGCGGATCCGAGAAATCCGCGCGGACCTCCGAGTTCTTATGTTGATGTCATTCTTCGTTTCCCTAAGTTAACCATATTCACGCTCATGTGATGACCACCACTCTCTACAACCAGCGGCCCGCGTCGGGGGGGAGGGGGGGCTCGACGGGGCAGGGGCAGCCCAAGAGGGTGCCCAACGCTGTCGCCACGACCGGGAGGTGGTCGGCACCGAGGCGCCTTTTCAGGTTCTGATCCAAGCTGCCCCGACAGGGGGAACTCGGGCGGAAGCTCTGGTGAGCTGCCAGACCCAGGGGGCTGACTTGGGACGTAGGCGGACAGAATAGCACTGTGCGTCCTCCATGGAGGCGTGCGTCCGACCTGGACGTATCATACCAACATGTTGTGGCATATCGATTCCCGAACGGTAAAGCCAGAAAGCGCACGCCACGGAGTCTGCACCAGAAGATTTATTGGCGCGCGCGTCGCCCTTGGGGGATCGACGCACACATAGTATTGGTATGTTTCGGCGGCGAACGCGAGGGGAAATGAGAAGGAAAGATCTTCTCAAAAGACTCGGAAGTCCCCTGGCCTTCAAGTGTCCTAACCCTTCCCTGACAGCACAGAAAACTCCTCAGAACGCGCGAGGGTTTCTGAGAAGTCCCGCCGCCTTCTGAAAAGACCTTTTCCTTCTCACTCCTCCCCCCCCTCGTTCGCCGCCGATTGTTGGGGGGGCGCCCAGGGGCACCCCACTTTCCGACGGCCCGTTGGGCCAGGGGGCCAGCGGGGGCACGAAGGGTGGATAGCCACGTGGCAGGCACCACACGCACCCGCCGGGGAGCCCTGTCAAGGGCGACGGGCGATCGGAGCCCCTGCACACAGGCCAGCACACACACTCCGCGGCGAGCCGAAGCCCGCTCGACGCAGTCCCGCGGGGGGGGGAGGACAGGGAGAAGGCGGAGAATCGGAATGTGAAGGGGCGGGGCAAATTATCCTGGCGAAGGAGCCAACCATATGCAATTGTGAGTACCGCAATTGCGAATATCTTCTTCGGTGGCGCTCCCTATGGGGCCACGAAACGTGTGAGGGGTGTGCCGAAATGCGTGTGCGGGACGCATGCGGGCACACCCACTGGGACCTTCGGTGGAGCTCCCTATGGGGCCACGAAACGTGTGAGGGGTGTGCCGAAATGGGTGTGCGGGACGCATGCGGGCACACCCGCTGGGACCTTCGGTGGAGCCCCCTACGGGGCCACGAAACGTGCGAGGGGTGTGCCGAAATGGGTGTGCGGGACGCATGCGGGCACACCCACTGGGGCCTTCGGTGGAGCTCCCTATGGGACCACGAAACGTGTGAGGGGTCACGAAACGCGTGAGGGGCGTGCCGAAATGGGTGTGCGGGACGCATGCGGGCACACCCACTGGGGCCTTCGGCGAAGCTCCCTATGGGGCCACGAAACGTGTGAGGGGTGTGCCGAAATGGGTGTGCGGGACGCATGCGGGCGGCAGCACTGGGACCTTCGGTGGAGCCCCCTACGGGGCCACGAAACGTGCGAGGGGTGTGCCGAAATGGGTGTGCGGGACGCATGCGGGCACACCCACTGCGGCCTTCGGTGGAGCTCCCTATGGGACCACGAAACGTGTGAGGGGTCACGAAACGCGTGAGGGGTGTGCCGAAATGGGTGTGCGGGACGCATGCGGGCACACCCACTGGGGCCTTCGGTGGAGCTCCCTATGGGGCCACGAAACGTGTGAAGGGTATGCCGAAATGGGTGTGCGGGACGCATGTGGGCACACCCACTGGGACCTTCGGCGGAGCTCCCTATGGGGCCACGAAACGTGTGAGGGGTGTGCCGAAATGGGTGTGCGGGACGCATGCGGGCGGCAGCACTGGGGCCTTCGGTGGAGCTCCCTATGGGGCCACGAAACGTGTGAGGGGTGTGCCGAAATGCATGTGCGGGACGCATGCGGGCACACCCACCGGGACCTTCGGTGGAGCTCCCTTTGGGGCCACGAAACGTGTGAGGGGTGTGCCGCATTGGGTGCGGGTGGTGACGCATGCGGGCGGTGCCACTGGGGCCTTCGGTGGAGCTCCCTATGGGGCCACGAAACGTGTGAGGGGTGTCCCGAAGTGAGTGGGTGTGGGTGGCGCATGTGAGCGCCGCCACTGGGGCCTCCCGTGGATGATGGGGTCACGAAACGCGTGAGGGATGTGCCGAAATGAATGTGCGGGACGCATGCGCATGTGAGCGCCGCCACTGGGGCCTTCGGTGGAGCTCCCTATGGGGCCACGAAACGCGTGAGGGGTGTGCCGAAATGGGTGTGCGGGACGCATGCGGGCACACCCACTGGGGCCTTCGGTGGAGCTCCCTATGGGGCCACGAAACGTGTGAGGGGTGTGCCGAAATGGATGTGCGGGACGCATGCGGGCGGCAGCACTGGGGCCTTCGGGCTCCCGTATGGGGCCACGAAACGCCCGTGACGCAGCAGCACTGGGGCCTTCGGTGGGGCTATGGGGCCACGAAACGTGTGAGGGGTGTGCCGAATTGGGTGTGCGGGACGCATGCGGGCGGCAGCACTGGGGCCTTCGGTGGGGCTCCCTATGGGGCCACGAAACGTGTGAGGGGTGTGCCGAATTGGGTGTGCGGGACGCATGCGGGCGGCAGCACTGGGGCCTTCGGTGGGGCTCCCTATGGGGCCACGAAACGTGTGAGGGGTGTGCCGAATTGGGTGTGGGTGACGCATGCGGGCGGCAGCACTGGGGCCTTCGGCGGAGCTCCCTATGGGGCCACGAAACGTGTGAGGGGTGTGCCGAATTGGGTGTGCGGGACGCATGCGGGCGGCAGCACTGGGGCCTTCGGTGGGGCTCCCTATGGGGCCACGAAACGTGTGAGGGTGTGCCGAATTGGGTGTGCGGGACGCATGCGGGCGGCAGCACTGGGGCCTTCGGTGGGGCTCCCTATGGGGCCACGAAACGTGTGAGGGGTGTGCCGAATTGGGTGTGCGTGACGCATGCGGGCGGCAGCACTGGGGCCTTCGGTGGGGCTCCCTATGGGGCCACGAAACGTGTGAGGGGTGTGCCGAATTGGGTGTGCGTGACGCATGCGGGCGGCAGCACTGGGGCCTTCGGTGGGGCTCCCTATGGGGCCACGAAACGTGTGAGGGTGTGCCGACGGGGTGTGCGTGACGCATGCGGGCGGCAGCACTGGGGCCTTCGGGGGCTCCCTATGGGGCCACGAAACGTGTGAGGGGTGTGCCGAATTGGGCGTGCGTGACGCATGCGGGCGGCAGCACTGGGGCCTTCGGTGGGGCTCTCTATGGGTCCACGAAGCGTGTGAAGGGTATGCCGAAATGGGTGTGCGGGACGCATGGCCTTCGGTGGGGCTCCCTATGAGGCCACGAAACGTGTGAGGGGTGTGCCGAATTGAGCGTGCGTGACGCGTGCGGGCGGCAGCACTGGGGCCGTCGGTGGAGCTCCCTATGGGGCCACGAAACGTGTGAGGGGTGTGCCGAATTGGGTGTGCGTGACGCATGCGGGCGGCAGCACTGGGCCTTCGGTGGGGCTCCCTATGGGGCCACGAAACGTGTGAGGGGTGTGCCGAATTGGGTGTGCGTGACGCATGCGGGCGGCAGCACTGGGGCCTTCGGTGGGGCTCCCTATGGGGCCACGAAACGTGTGAGGGGTGTGCCGAATTGGGTGTGGGTGACGCATGCGGGCGGCAGCACTGGGGCCTTCGGTGGGGCTCCCTATGGGGCCACGAAACGTGTGAGGGGTGTGCCGAATTGGGTGTGCGTGACGCATGCGGGCGGCAGCACTGGGGCCTTCGGTGGGGCTCCCTATGGGGCCACGAAACGTGTGAGGGGTGTGCCGAATTGGGTGTGCGTGACGCATGCGGGCGGCAGCACTGGGGCCTTCGGTGGGGCTCCCTATAGGGCCACGAAATGCTGTACTGGGTGTGCGGGACGCATGCGGACGGTGGAGAGGAGGAGGGGGCAGAGGAGGAGGAGGGGAGAACGCGGGGACCGTTTCTTCAAAACGAGGACCCAACACCACAGGATGGTTGGGAAAAAATGATGTTCGACGACATGGCGGAGAGGATTGATTGACTCGGCTGTCGGGCCCGTCCTGAACTGCAGCGCCACCTGGGGCCCCCATTGGGAGCCACCCTGTGGGAGAGCAGCACTCTCAAGAAGCAGCGCTGCCTGCTGAAAGAAACCATCGTCTGGCCCTGCGGCGTAAAAACAAAGCAGCTCCAATCAACCAACCAGGCATGGGAAGAAGGAGGAAGAGAAAGAGGAGGAAGAGGAAGAAGGAAGGGAAGAGGAAGATGAAGAGGAAGAGGAAGAAGGAAAAGGAGGAAGAGGAAGAGAAGGAAGAGGAAGAAGAAAGAGGAGGAAGAGGAAGAGAAGGAAGAGGAAGAGAAGGAAGAGGAAGAGGAGGAAGAGGAAGAGGAAGGAGGAGGAAGAGGAAGGAGGAACAGGAGGAGGAGGAGGAGGAAAGGGGGGGCGAAGGGGGCGACAGATGTTCCTGAGCGCTTCTGGAAAAGATGAGGGGGGACTTCGGGGGGAGGGCCTCCAAGGCCTCCTCCTCCTCCTCCTCCTCCTCCTCCTCCTCCTCCTCTTGCTCCCCCTCCTTCTCTTAGTATGATGAATAGTATTGTTGAGTCCGTCTCCTTACTATTAGCTATATTAATGTTACGCTCATGTCTTAGTGATAATAGTAATAATCATAATCATGTTATTCTTTCATCTTAAGGTTTTTCCCTACCTAGGCTCTGCCTAGAAGGGTTCTTACTCTCTT